TTGAATAATTTGAGATCTAAATCAAAACTTCTACAAATAGAGTCAAAGGTCATTTGTACCTTTTCCAGTCAATTTTGAGGCAAATGTCCCAAAATAGAAACATGCAGGTTTTGAATAGCTTGAAAAAAAAAGCAACATTTTGTGAGCAGTTTCTAAAGAACCCTATACTGTACTTTCAACCCTACTTTCCATATTTTAATTAATTTGCATATAATCTGTGAACACATTGTGATTTGTTGAATTTTATCCCCTCATCATATGTATTCGATAAAACAAGAAAAACAATTGTTTGAAATCTTTTTTTTTTTTTGGCTATTTTCTGAGTTACATTGTCTAGCCTAATTAAAGAGTGGAGTACCAACTTGGCCTCACTGGTAGTTGGGAGAGCATCCATACAGTAATCAGAGGGTGTTTGGTTCAAATCCCAAATAGAAATTGTTTTGTTTTTTAAACCATTGACGTCATTGTACTGGAGTTGCTTCTCCATATCAAGTTTAATATCAACCAAATTATCTATACATTACTTACAATATCTTAAGAAAAAATGGCCTGCTGGGTGTAAGATAGTTTTAGTAAGAAGTATATAATTAAGCAGAAATAATTGATTTTATCTGTGTCTTATTCGACATTGAATTTATCTTTCTAAATAATAATGCTGTGCTATATTTTGCACATTTAATATTTGCGCATTTTTTTTTCCAACATGCTTTGAGACAGTCTAATTTTTTCATGCGAGAATTGGGAAAATTAAATTGTGCGAAAATATTCACTAATGTAATTGAATTTATAAGGTATTTCCCCTGAATTTACCACAGGTAATAAATACTTAATAAAAATTAATGATTTTTATAATTGAATAATAAAATCATGTTTTTAAATGTTATTTCTTTCTTTGAAAGACAATCTAATTTAAGATAACCAGTCTTGAATTTGTAAGAATTCCACACACAACTTAATTGACCATTTTTTTTGCTCTTTAAGTAGCTGCTTAGAAAGGATTTATTGTCCTGGCAAATTATTAATAAATGCAGTGTTCATATCACAGGAAACAACCGGTCTTCCTCACCTGCAGACGTTATTGTTGCCAGGCTATCAGTGAGATTGAATAAATTCAATTAACGTTTTCTATAGATTATCATCATGAAGACATAAACTTGTCATACTAACACAATCTTTTGTATTCTTGGTTGTCATTCTATTGGGGATCATTTATTTGTTACTTTCAGCAAACAAACAAATTAATACAATGCAACAGGTAAGGAAAGTAAATGAAAATTACAAATGGATGAATAAATTAATTAACTCTAGTATTATATGTATATTTTTAAAAAATGTTATCAATATTTTAATTTTTTTTGAGTGGATTTAGGGATTGTGGTATAGGAAGGCAAGCATCTTAACCACTTAGTAACAGCTCCAATTTATCAACGCAGCAGGATTTGAACCCAGGACCCCAAGCAAGCATCTTAACCACCAAGCTGCAGCGCCACTCCATCAACATTGTAGGATTTGAACCCAGGACCCTGTGATGGAAGCAAGCATCTTAAACACCAAGCTACAGCACATGTGTTGCGAAACACATTTACTCAACACGCTATAACTGAATATAATTGTATCTCATTAAGTAGTCAAATCACATTTGCATTAACAATATAATTGACACTTCCAGCAAAGCAGCTGTTTTTTGATGTTCAGTCATAGGTTTTTAGTACTGCACCATACTTTATTCCTTATAGTCTACATGTTTTTTTTTCTCTCCCTCATTTGCATTTGCATCAATGTTTTTTATCCTAACATATTGCCACTGCATAAGATTATCTTCGATGTAAAGTACATGAACTGCAATCATTACTAGCAACAATCAACAATCGCCTCAAAGGCCATTTTATCACCCTCGCCCCAACTACTAAAATATTTAGAAGAATGATGTCAGAATGACAAATGCAATTTAAAACAACAGCTTGAATCTTTCAAACTTTAACCAGTATTGATTTACATATGGTACAATATCTAAAAATTCCAGATTTTGACATTTTTTTCATTCGGTATAAGAGTCATTGTCAACGCCATTTAATATCCAGCAATAACAATGACATATATCTTGAATGCTGTGTTTGCGAGTCAACTGTAAATTTCTGGTACATGATGGGTTAAAATACGGTTCTGAGAAAAACTGTTGACTTGTTACCTTAACATTTCTTTTAGATTACTTTGATCGTCATCAGTTGAGAATTCTCGTAATGACTGTCGGAGATTAAATCTCACCGAAATGTCACAATGACAGTCAGAGTAATCTTACCGAACAAAAAACCAATTGTTTTTCTCAGCACCAATTCGTATAGTTTCCATAATATTATTAGCAACAACATAACAACAATATCAGCAACAACAACAATAATATAATAATAATTATTAGTCTTAAGGGTAATATCTTTTGTGTTATTTTCCCCTTAACGTCGTTTTTTTTTAATTGTTCTCCAATTTCTCCATTGTCTAAGTTTCCCTTAAGGTACAGTATGTTTTAGTAACAATAAATAATAGTAATAACCAAGTATTTGGTGGGATATTTGTTGAAGTTTGTTGGTAATTTTTTTTTAAAAGATCCTAAAAAAAATATTTACATTAGAAAACCCAAAACACAATTTGCGAGGAGTCACTGGTTTGGCTTGTCTTTGCCATACATTGTTGTTGCACTCATTTGCATACTACTACTGAATAGGAGGAGGCCCTCTATAAAAAAAAAAAATTAAGTTCAATAAGTACATTTATAATCAGGATTTTGATAAGACGAATGAAAACCTTGGTATTCAGAAAGCTTGCATTTACCGGAGAGAGCTAAATGAAATACAGACAATTAACATGCACAACCAAGTGAGAATAATAATTCATGAGGATAAAACAACCAAATAGCCAATTGTTCTATTGTCATCTCGATAGCTGCGAAAAAACATAAATCCAGCAACAATTGGCCTAATGAGGCAATTGCTATGGATACATTTATTAAAACAGGATCTTGTAGTGTTCTTTAAACATGGGTGGTGGGTGGAAGGTAATATAACTAAAAAAATGGTACTGTGTTAGATGGTAGAAACTGGAAAAGATAATGGCATTGCAGGCCTGTCACCAGGTTATTAGAAGGGGGGGGTGGGGTTTCTCTGGGAGTGCAGTCCAGGGTCGAAGCAATGGTAGGGGGTTGCCAGAACCCCCAAAGCCAGAGGATTTTTGTGTTTTAACGGTCTCAATAATGTTATAAAAGCAGTCATGCTTGAAAAAGGTCTGCTGCTAAACATTCTGTCTGAGTCTGGGTGGATCTGCAGAGCATTAGTTGGGTTGGGGGGGGTCACAAAAAAAGAAGGGGATTTGCTAGAAAAGGGGGATTTGCCTGAACCATAAACCACACCCTCCCTCCTACCCCCACTGGCTACAGGCCTGAATTGTGAATGTTATGATACAGGTCTCCATCCAAAGAAAGACCCCCTTCCCCAATAAAGACCACCTCCAATTAAACATCACTTTTCTGTGGCCCAAAATTAATGAATGTCCTTTTATCTTTATCATTTCAATAAGAGACCAAAGCTGCTAAAGACCATGGAAACCCCAGTCCAAAAAGTGGTCTTAAATTGAAAGGGGACCTGTAGCCTATGTCGGTATTGGGGATTGTGGAGTAGAAATGTTTAATAATTGTGAGAAACTAGGACTCTGGGATCAGAAGGCAATTACACAACCACCAAGCCATGGTTCCCCTCATTAAATATCATATTATTTGCTTTTCTATACACATTTTGCATCATAATTCATAATCCAAAATCATTCATAATTTATTAACCTCTCCTGGGGAAAAAAATCAGCACATTAGAATCACTTAAAAAAGTTATTCTTTATGGGCAGGAAAATATGCAAATTAAAATACAGCCAAAACATCAATACATTAATAGCAAGCTTCTTATTTTTTTTCAAGATCATCAGAAGGTGGGAAAAAAAATGTTGTATTCTTATTTAGAAAAATGATTTTGCCAAAAGCACCTAGGCAAAGAAGAAAATTAAAAAAAAATTATTGATGAATGTAAACAATGTAGTAATGAGATTGATAAATATTTTAAATTTATATATAATTAAAGAAGAAATATAATTTTGGCAGATTTCAGGGAAGACTTTTACTTCAGTTATCCTTAAACCATTGGCATATGTAAGCTTGTGCCCCCTACTCCCAAGTCACCCCCACTGGAAATTTTTTGAAACCAAAAAATTACACCAAAGTATTTAAAAATCACCTCACACACCACCTTAATATTTTGCAGGCTAGTGTCTCCCCCTTCCCAAATTCATCACCAAGTCCTCCCACTTCACCTTAGTGTGGCACCCCCCTTACCGATTAGCCACCCCCAATTCAATATACCCCTACAAATGCTACAGCTTTTAAACTTATACATGTAAGTCGATGCAATACGGTAGGAATGATAATGTTTATGCTTTAGTTAATTACTGACAACATTTTCAATCTGAACATTCCTTTGAGCAAGTTCAGATTATTGATAAGGATCCTGTTTGGTTTAAGAAGTGGAGTCAATTTGAGAAGCCACACACATCCACATTCACAAAAAGCAGGATAAACAGGGACAGAGACGCCTCCAGGTAGTTTGCAGCTATTTTTTAAGGCGACTAGTCAACCAATAGCAGTGGCTGAAACCAATAGCATCCCCATCCCCCAATTATTGGGTTGAAGTTCCAGTGATTGTCTCCTTGGGTGATCAAAAGCTCCACAAGTTGAGAAATATTTTATGTTGTGAGTATTGAATATATCTTAAAATACTGAATAACCATCATTAATATAATCTTTGACATCACCATCATCATTGACATCGACATCACTGTCATCATAATCCTCATTACCATTGTCATCCTCATGAATCACCATCATCACGGCCACTGTAGATGCCGCTGTCACCATCATCATCATTGTCATCATTATCATTAAATGTTTGTGGAAAAAAACAACAGACCTTGTGGTCGTTGACCTGGAACTTGATCCAGCCGTCATCCAATGACATTATGAATGTGCCCTGCACCAGATCCAAGTTCAGGGAATATCCGCCAAACAGAAGAAGTGGGTAAACGGATACCATGCTGCAGTCCCGGATGTACACCTACGGATGAAATACAATTCCCTTTAACTATTTTTAGTCAGAATGACGCAAGAGTCCTTAGATAGCCTATCTCTACATGATGGAGGGCAAAAAAATTGTAATTATGCTGTACAAATGAATTTTCTAAGACACTAAAAATTTGTTTGAAGAAATAATTGGTAATGGAATAATAAGGTACAGATTTCTGAATATTTAAGAACTGGGGGGGGGGGGGGGGGAAGGGCGAAAGACCCTCATTTTCTCCTAGTTTATTTCTTTAAGATTTTTCAGTGTTTTAGAAATTCATTTGTACAACCATTTTTTCCCCACCAGAGCATGGCTTTAATACAAAACAGACATTCAAATATTACAGGCCTACACAGAACAATTTCCACCTATTCCCTTCCCCTACTGTAGTGCTTTTAAAACTAATTTTTTTTCGTCCTGAATAAGGGGTAAAACGCTGGGATGGGAAGCTTACCACCAATCCCCGTTCCTTTCCTTACCGTGAGCCTCTAAACATGTAATATTAACATCATTCAGGTATTTTTTAAGCTAATTACTTTTTCGTATCTGTCAGAATTTTATACTCTCCGTTTCAAAAAAGGAAAATCAATAACTGAGAATGACATAAACTAGGGAGTCCACTCATAAAACATGGCTTAGTCGATAAAAGGAGAACCTCGTGAGGATTATTCGATATGTATAATACTAACACTAATGAACTTAAAGGAAATTATCACAAATAATGTTCAACAAACTCTGTGGGAGGTTCAACAGGGAAATAGCCAATCAATACAGATCTCAGTATAATTGGCCAAACAAAAAAAATTACTTGTTTAGCGTCACATCTCAACTAAAGTTTAGGTGGGGAGGGGTGGTTTTTTTTTTCATTTTTTAATCAATCTACAGTATTAGTAATCCGATGTTGGATTAGATACTTTCTTAGCAGTGCCATGCCCAGCACAACTTGGATTGCATAGGCTACAATCTCACACATACCCACAAGCATGACCCTGTAATTGTAATTTTCAAGTAAATCAAAACAAAGAAATTTTTCCGAAAATCAAATATTTTCAAAACAAAAAGTTTTAAAATTAGGCCTACAATAAATATTACACCTGATTGGTAAAAATCATTGTTTTAATTCACTTAAAATATATTGATTTTGATTAGCATTTCTTAAACAACATTCATTTTATTCTTAATTAAATAAAAAAAATCCCACCTCTAATTTTTTTATTTTGGGACAAAAATTCAGGTGGGGTGGTGATGCTAAACACATATATTTTATATTTTGGCCTATGCCTCTAACAGGCAGATATAAAAGAGTATTCGCTTTCTTAAACTGATAATGAAATTGTGACATGTGAACCAAGTTACAGATTTTATTCATAATTTTAAATTCAAATCATTTGTAAGATAATAACTCTATAAATTGCTAATAAATTATATTTTTGTAATTAGAATTACAAATTTAAATGAATTATACATAATTAATTGATTATATGCCATTAATAATTACTGTAATGTATTGTAAAATGTATTGTATTATTTATAGGTACAGATTGTATTTATAAGTTTGAATTCAAATCAATTGTAAGGCTAATTACTGTGAATTATGTTTGTAGTTTGGTAGAATAATTGGACTTTATATTTTATTTTTATAATTAATAATTTAATTCAATGTAATATTTTCGATAAATCTATTAATGAACTGCTAATAAATTATATTTTTATAGTTAGTTGTAATTAAAATTTGAATGAATTGTAAGTAATTGATTATATGCCCTTTATATGTATTGTATTATTTTAAAAACCTTAAAATGTATATATTTTTTTTTAAATTATTGAATGACATTTTTATTAAAAAAAAAAAATTATTATCTGATTTTTTTTATGCATCTTTTACATATAATTTTGTTGTGATCATGTTTGGATCCTTGGAGGGCCTTTATGTTTTTTCTTAACCATAAAATGTAATAAATGCTCTCATAAAAATGCAATACATAAATGTATACAGTTGTTTTCAAAGTTCAAGCTACTTCTAACCCCTTGTAGGATTTCAGTACTTCTTTGAATATAATACCCCGGGGCAATTATAGTTCTGGGGGATTTTGAAGGGGGAGGGGCCTTATTCAATTTTAAGCATGTATTTTTTTTATGGTGTAAAACATATTTTGGTGTAAAACGAATGAAATATACAGGAAATGCTCAACATACCACAAAAATATTGTCAAAAAGCATGATTGTATTATTGTACATTAAGTGTACAGCAATAATTGAATTTTTTTTTGTGTAAAACATTGCTGATAATGTACTGCTTAGGAGAGGGCATATATTAAAAGGAGTTGTTTATTCAAAGAGTGTATTAAAATCAATATTGAAAAAATATTTAAGTATTCTTTATCATTAAAAACTAGAATTGGCTTTAATTAAGTACATTATGTATATATTATGTTACTATATGTACATATTATACGCTATTATGCACTTGGGCAAAACAACTAAGCATTATGACCACAAAAAAAAACAACTTTCAGCTACCGAGAGTATCTTTTACGAATTTATTTGTTCAAAAAAAAATGTGTATCCTTGGGACTCGACCTATCACCCAATATGAAGTAGTTTAAAAGGGACATTTTCCCCTTGATGCTAGTGAATCAGAAT